CAACATGCACTGCACATGTGAATTCCTGGATTCTTGAGGTTAACGGAAACCAAGATTGCTGGAAACCTGCTTTTTGCCTTTCTAAAAGGCAATTTGATTGGCCCTGCGAAAACTGACTCTATGTCCAGCTGTCCGAATGATGCTTATGCGATACATGATTTGCCAAGAAAGTGATCGCTTCTGACGTTCCGTTCGATCGACGACGGCACGAAAATCACTTTTTGGCGGATTGCAGTAAAAAATATCCTTATTTTTTCAGATTTTGACTAAAATAGTTGTTACCTGACTTTTCACGGTAGTGTGGCAACCCTGAAAAGAGTATATATTGATATTCTCAGATTTTGCATATATTAGGTCAATTCATGAAATTAATTTTCCTCTTAATTTCATTTGGTGTACCTTTTTCAACATACATAAAGCAACATTTAAGATGGTACATGAAAGATCTGGTAAGCATACTTCACCGCTTATGATGAATACTTTGCCTAAAATTTTTGGCTTGCACAAATCATAATTTTCTATGACAATTATTTAAATCATAATTTGTTATAAGTAACATATTAAAAATACTTATATGCATTCTTTTAAAATTTATTATTGGTACATTTATTTCTAAAAGAACAGGAAATTAATTACTTAGTACAAGTACATATAAAGCCAAAAAACTGATAATATTGTTTACATGAGATACTGAAAACAGGGTTTGTACACATTTCTGCATACAGAAATTAAGTACTTTTAAGGACCATCAATGAAAAAAATTAAGGACCTATGAGCAAACCGGAGCTGAATAAATTCAATTAAAAATATTATGAATGCCTGAATTTTCATAATACCATCCTAAAAATAAAATAGATCCCTAAGTACAGTCAAAAGTCTTTAATCCAGACTCATCGGGACTTCGGTGATTCCGGATTATAGATCATCAATTTAAATCTGGTAAGATGGCATGCAGAAATTATAAAATTAAAACTATGAAACTGTAATTTATGAAATAGAGAGCAATTATGAACTAAAGGGTATCAAAATTTACAAAAAAAAAAAAAAAAAAAAAAGCTTTATTTATTTGTTTACTTTATTAAACATTTCTTTCAACACTCGCATGCGTAAAGCATACATTACGCATATTAGAAATTAGAAAATTGCAACCAGAAAACTAGTTGATGTGTATTTGTCATATTACGAGGAGTTTGATTTAAATCATATCAAAGACGGAGTACATTGAGATGAAATACTACATTTAGTAAGGAATTATAAGCCAAATAAAACAAAAACATCTGGCCTGAAGATAAGGATAGTGCTGACAGATCAACTTTCAGTTCATTGCGCGCTGCGACGTCCCCCCCCCTACAGAGCAACGTGAAATTGCTAAACAGATTTCGGAATAGTTAGAGAAACAAAGGGTATGCCTTTATCCATTTTTTGCAGCAATTCCACTTTTTGTTTGATGGACATCGAAACATGCTTTCGCTTTGTAGATCCTTTGGCAACTCCAGAATCGGAAATTCTTTTTGACATAATTGAAAGTTCAAGCTTACTTTTATGAAATTGCTCTAACAGTCTGCAAAAAATAATAAGCCGGATCTAATTAGAAGATTAAGGAACAACGCAATCTGCAACATTAACTGAAATAGATAATTAGGTAATTTTAGCTTAGCTTATACCGTCCATTATACATTAAACGCGCATGCGTAAACGCATAAGCACAGAAATTTTGCAGCTTTGAGGTCCGGATTAAAGACTTTTGACTGTAGTATGTATTATTTACTAAACATGAATTAATTAACATAATTATTAATAAGTTTGAGAATAAAATAAACTTAAAGCAATTTATCAAGTAGCATTAAATATGTTATAATAGTTGAACATATTACTTGAAGATAAGTGACATTTACGTTTTTACTAATAGTTAGGTTTATGATGATTTTTTTTTAATGTCTCATTTTGTCACATATTTGGTCAGTTTAGAGGTTTAGTAAATAGCAGGCAGATTTTATGTCAAATGGCATACATTAAAATGAGAAGTAAGATCATAAGCAGCATGATTCATAACAAAAGACTGAATGTTGTCACCACTGCTGCTTGTCTAGAGAGAGACCTGCTGATTAGAATAAACCTGAAAGGCCTGATCTAGGCACGGTTGACAAGTGTTGAAAGTTAGACTCTGTTTGATGCAGTTAGTGTCATATGTTCAGATAGAGTTCCAGGGGTTGTAACCCAGTTAATATACTTTGAAGTTCAAATAAGCCATTAAAGCACCAGAGGTGATAAGTTATTTTGTATTATTTTAAGTCTCATTAGATGTGAAGAATAAGTCTTACTTGAATTTTTACATTTTTGTATTTTATCTTGTGACCACAGTGAGTATTAATGAAAGGCAATAAGTCACTTTATGTAAAGATAATTATTCAGGGTAAGCAGTTAGTTATAAATAATTAAATTAGGTAGATTGACAACCTTAAACATTATGGATTTACATGGATACTATTAAATTTATTTTTTAACAATATTTGTTACAAAAGTATTAAAATCAAAATCTAATAAAATTTCACAGTTTAAAATGCATGTAATTTATGACATTGATTCTTATATGATATTAGGATAATTACACATTAAAACCTACAAAACATTTATGTTTTGTAACACTCAACAAAATATTTATCCTTCATTTTAATTTGAAGCCTTCCCAAACATTTTGAGTAGTTTATATTGATTTCCTTTTTTTAAGTATCTTTTCTAATAATTAGAGATTTGTCTCAATATGCAAACTAATGCATTCACTAGTTTCTGTGTGCTTTATCTCCTAACTTGTCAATCTCTCCACAATGTACCTATGAGGGTTTTTTTGATCTGGTAAAAGTTAAATAGTCGAAAACCGACGACAGACGTGAAGCATATTATTGCTATGTCTATATATATTATTATTGCTATGTCTATATACGACAATATCAGACAAAGGTTTAATTAAGCCTCTTACTAAAAAAGAATTTAGAACATAAAGGCATGTTCTGACGCTAACAAAATCAATTACAGCTCACGGTGAGGTAATTAAACAAGAACAGTGAAATTCGAACTAAAAAACATGGAGTAGTGGTCAAAGATTATACAATTTAATTTAAATTTAATCTGGCTCAGAAATTCTATCGTGAGGAAATAGAAATGGGAAATTATAGTAAAGGATGAAATCATAAACAGTTGGGTAATCTATATAATAATAACTGCACATATCTTTGAAAAATAATTTTTTTATATATTCAGTTTCTTTCTTCAATATGTTTCCTTTTCATTTCAGAATTTCTGGATTTAATTAAGGATTTCTGTTATTCTAAAAAACACTAAATGCATTTAGAATGTATAGAAAAAGCGGCTAATTTTATTTCTTTAGTAATATGAACATTTAGAAGAAATATGAAATATATTTATTGTAAAGAGCTGATGTGGCAGAATTTTTAGAATTTAGTGACACACCGAACAAAATCTAGACATAGCAAAACTTTTAGAATTTAGAGCAGGCACTGGAAGCAGAACTTAGAAAGGCACTAGGCTGCAAAATTTAGAATCCACAGAGATTGCTTTAGGTGGGAAAATGCCTAGTGCCAGCTATGTGTATGATGCATTAAGACATATTAGATGAATCTTTTAAAATTAAAGTTTTCAATTTCTTTATTAATATAAAAATCCCTTTCTATAATGCCTGCCCATGTGATAAAATTATAAGCATTTGTGATATTTTCCATGCTTGAGTTTAGTGAAAAGTAGAGAGAATAAAGGGAAGATAAACATGCTAAAAGATTCTAATTTCAGAAGTAAAACATTCAAATATTATGTTTTCATTGTTCTTCCAGACGTTCTCCAAAAAGTAAGAAATTCATTACAAACTTTCTGTAAAATACATCCATTACGTGTTGATACCATGGAGACATTTTTCATTTTGTCACATATTTTTCGAATCTTCTAGAAAGGTGGGTCTATAAATCTTGCCTTCAAATCCTTCTAACCCTTCCAAGCTGCAATGTCTAAAATCCTAAAGAAAAATTATCTCTACCAATTCTATGACAGCAAAAGCCAGAAATATTTTGGGAAAAAAAAAAAAAAAAAAAAAAAAAAAAAAAAAAAAAAAAGAAAGAAAGAAAGGAGGGAAAAAGTGTAAAATTAATTTTATAGAGAAAACTGGTGCATATTCTAAGAATTTTCTATAGAAAGTGATCTTAAAATCGCCAAAATGTTGATAAGTCGCCAAATTTAGAACCGTTTAATAAAAGAATTCATATCTCCAAAAACTCTTTATTAGAAAAAATTAATTTTGAAATGCTTCTGTTTCACTTCTTGCTTAGAAACTCGAGTATCCCATCATTTATATTAGAAATAGAAACAAATTATAACCCATGAACCAATTCAAAAGATAACCATGTATGTTAGTGAATCACAAAAATATTCTTCCAAAATGGTAATTCATATTCAAAAATGGCAGTCATAGAAACAGACAGAAATTTCAGATGATTAAAATTAAGGACCTTTTGCTGAGTTTAGCCAAAATTAAGGACTTTTAAGGACCAAAAATCATTTCTAAAAAATCTAAGGACTCTTAAGGACCGTACGAACCCTGTGAAAAGTACTTAGATTCATCATACAACATAGAGTGCATCAACATAAGAGGAACAAAAAAAGTTAACTTTCATATTTCAAAATTTTTTATTTTAATGTAATTTAAGTAATACAAGTATAGTTTTCTTTTTTGCTATATGTTACAATGCATTATACATATTCAGTGTGATAATTTATAGTTAATACATAATTGTTTTTTAAAAATTAAGTTTGCTATGGTAATATTTATGACTTAGTTACTAAGACTTTCAAGCTAAATAATCAGAAACTGAAGTTTGAGCAGATCTAATACATAAAACAGAAGCCTATCTCATGTCACATTAGATTATCTATAATCATACGATCATATCAATGTGTCAGTTAGTACAGTATAATGTGCAAAAAATAAAACCCACCAGAAAATTTAATTTTTATTCTTCAGCTCTTTCAGGTGGAGGGCCACAAGGTAATAACATCTTTTCAGTTAAATTAAACCGCATACGAGCTTTTGATTCATTTTCTGCAATTGCAATAAAATTTAGCATATCATGATGGGCAATAAATGAAGACAGGCTATCTCTATGCTGATTTACCAGCCACTCAAACTTTGTTGTATCAGCATGTCCTGTGCCAATATATTTAGACTGCAAATGTTCAAGTTGTGAATGGATGTTGTAACGCTCTCCCATGATACCTGGAAAAAGAACGATATAAAATAATTACCACTGATAAATATATTTTATAGTCTGATATTAAAATAGATAAATTCAGCACAAGTACAATTAAATAAATACCTTACAAAATTATACTTTAAATTAATCTATTTACGTAATACAGTTAAACCTTGGCTCACGAATTTAATTCATTATTAAAGACCAAATGTTCGTATACAGTCAAAAGTCGCTGATTCGGACAGCCATAATCCAGAATGATCTATAATCCAGACCTCAAAGCTACAAACTTTCTGCGCATGCGTTGCGTTGACCTTTACGGCTGCGAATATATGTGTGTGCATGCGCAAAACACGTTTACGAATGCGCGTCTAATGTATAATGGATGGTATAAGCTAAGCTAAAATTATCTAATTCAGTTAATATTGCAGATTGCGTTGTTTCTTAATCTTCAAATTGGATTCGGCTTATTATTTTTTTGCAGACTGTTAGAGCAATTTTATAAAAGTAAGCTTGAACTTTCGATTATGTCAAATAGAATTTCTGATATATATTTATTAATACGTAAAGGATCTACAAAGTGAAAGTATGTTTCGAAGTCCATTAAACAAAAGTGGAATTGCTGCAAAAAATGGATTATCTTTGTTTATCTAAACTTTAACGTATGTTTATCTAAACTTTGTTTATCTTTAACGCCACGGCGCACAATGAATTGAAAGTTGATCTGTCAGCACTATCCTTATCTTCAGGGCAGATGTTTTTATTTTATTTGGCTTATAATTCCTTACTAAATGTAGTATTTCATCTCGATGTACTCCGTCTTTGATATGATTTAAATCAAATTTCTCGTCATTATAATTCATTTCCGATAGCGAAGAAAGTGACAGAGGTTATTGAAAACGAAAAAATTTCGATTGACAAATTAGTCGGTATTCTCGACACAGCAATTATAGGACTTGCACAGCGGAACTTTGTAACTGAACAAGAAATTATGTCTGTTTATAGAATTAAAGAGAATGTATTACACATAAAAAACGAAGCAACTTAAACAACTTACATTGAAAGAAATGTTTAATAAAGTAAACAAATAAATATTAAGCTTTTTTTTTTGTAAATTTTGATAACCTTTAGATCATAATTGTTCTTTATTTCATAAATTACGGTTTTATATTTTTAATTTTACAATTTCTGCATGCCATCTTATCAGATTTAAACTGATGATCTATAATCTGGAAAAATCGATAATCCGAAAACGCCGAAGTCCCGACAAGTCCGGATTAACAACTTTTGACTGTATAAGAATACGCCCCCAAGGTATTAATGTAAAATGGCTTAGTTTCCTCCTGAATCACAGATCATTGTTTGTTTAAAATTTACAAGCTTACTGTCATTGAAAATGTTTTATGCTACAGCTTGCTGCAGTATTATGAGGATGGTATCATGTGAAAACTTTGTATCTTACTCCAATGCATAAGTTTTGCAGATGAAAGAATTAGGGTAATTTTTTTCTTCCTGTTTCGAAGATGTTTCTCTTTTTAATCCTCTTTTGTTGCTACTTCTAATACTGTAGTTTTTCATAGCCCATGGATTTGAATTGAAACGGATGTGATAGATAAATACATCCTAAGCGTCAAAGCATTTAAAATCTCACCTGTAACTCAGTCTGGCCATAATTTTCTCCAGGCTGAATTCATGGATCTGTAAATCACTTGCTACCAGGCTTTGTTAATGACAGCTAAGCAACAAAAATTATTAAAATGTTTACAGAAATTTCTCCACATTAATTACATGGCACAGATCACCACAAAACACTTGAAAATCATATGTTACTGACTTCAATGTTTGTAACTATTTGTCATCTGAGGTTTTTTTTATTCAGATAATTTGTTTGTGAACAAAACTTTCATGAAATGATGCATTTGTGACCTCAGCTTCCACTGTGAAGTGATGCACAATCTTCCTAAATTCAAAGATTCTTAGGTATGGGAAGAGGAAGGAACTCCAACAATAGAAAAATTACCAAGGCATGGAAAAAAGAAAAACATTTAAGGCAAATTTATTTTTTACTAAATTATGTTAGTTACAGCAAAGTGCTTCAGAAATCATGCTAGATTTTTACTTCCTTGTACGAAGTAAAAAGGAAGTATTGTAATCGCGAAAAGTTTCAGGCAGCATATTTCAACGAAAATATCCATTTTGACAGCTATCGAATGCAATTTAACGATGTTTTTGCGTGATATCTGTACGTAAGGACAGAATAAAATACTCTTTCCCTTCAAAAAAATTATAAAACTGCTTTAAAATTAATTCTGAAGAAAATTTTTCGTGGTGTCTGTACGAACGTACGTATCTTGCATAACTCAAAAACGAGTAGCCTCAGAACGTTGAAATTTTGTATGTAGGACTGCTATAACATGCAGATGTGCACCTCATATTTTGGTTGCAATCGGCCGCACCAAACGTATATAAATATATTTATATATATATCCACTCTATTACCCGGCTCAGTGATCTCAGTTTCTTTACTCTTATATGTTTGTAAATTGTACATTTTTTGCTTTAAAAATGATTGAATTATGTTGTTTTTATCTTCCTGTCAAGGATTTTATGCCTTTAGTAAATCTGTGTGCAATATTTTTAGAATTATCAGCAATTTTAAAGTTGTTTAATTGCTGCTAAGCCTGTTTTTAATGGCGGCCATTGATGTTTACATTGGAAACAGGAGACTAGTGGATTTGTTGCCAATCTAGAGAAACAGCTTCGCAACAACAAAGATAACGCATTCATTTATTATTGCCAATTAAATCATGCTTAATCCTTTCTGGAATTTTTTCGAGGAAATAAGCGTTTGAGATTTACTTCGTAATTTTTAATACAGATATTTTGAGTTTTTATGTATTTCTGCCTTCTCGCGAAGTGAGAACTGAATTAATTAAATGAGAAATATTCAATTGTCTGAGAAAAACTGTTTCTTTTTTGTTTTGTTTGCTTAATTTCTTTTATACATAGTTCTAGCTTTATTATAGTATTTGAATAGAAGATGTGGCAACGATTAGATAATTCTTTAAATGATATAATATACATTTTGTGCATTCTGAGTTATAATATGAATGAAATATAATACTGTTAAGTAAACCTAGCGCCAGAGTGTCGCTATGGTAAACAAAGTGAATTTTAAAGAATGCATTTATTCTATTATGGTTTATGCGCTGTCGGCGAAGTAGGTTTAATTCAATCTAATAAGTTTAAATAAAATGCAAGAAAAAATATGTATAATTTAACATTCCGTACAAAGAAGTCATGTGGTGTACACATCTGATTTTTTTACTTTATACAGTAAAATCTTCCATAATCAGCAATATCTGAATAATAGCACTTTTGAAAGTCTAGATTTAAATCTGAAATTTAGGCCTATGAGATACAGAAATATATAATGGGCTAACAATCTGAAGATTTAAATTTGGAAAACGTATTATGTTTTGGCCTTCCAATATAACATGTTTTATCCAACCAATGGACCAAGGAATGATCTAAAATACTATAAAAAGTATTTTAGAATGATGAATGGTATTCTATTATCAGGATTGGATTCAGATGTAGCTAAAAGCTGCCGATCTGGCAATAAATTTCGGTGCATAATCACCAAAATATTTATGATATGGTGAAGTTGAAGAAAATTCCAATGGAAAAAAATAACACATCAGGTATGTGTAAGATTAGAAATTTTTAATGCAAATTATATAACTTGCCAAAGAAATCTGGGAGGGGAAAACTTCGGTTAGAGAATGAACATTAATGCAGAGGTATGAAACAGCAGATGTCATTTAAAATGTCTAAAACATATGTGTTTTAGGATGCTGCTGCAGCCACATAAACTCAATTAAATAAGAATCTAATTAGTTAGGGTCAGTGCTGCATTGAAGTTTATTTCGCCATTTGGCACTGTCCCATAATCTTTCAATACTGCGATTCAAAAATATGCAGTTATTCAGTATGGAAGCTCACCAAGAGAAAGGTTTCAATTCTCGAAATTTTGAGTTCAAGTTCTGAATTAACTATGTCATCAGCATTATGTAAATCATATGATATGGACTGATGTAAAAACGGTGCACTCCAGAAACAGTTATTAGCATTTTTAGATAGGAGAGGGAAATACCCAAATTAAAAATGAGGAATTAAGTGGCTATTGCTAATTTATATTGTAATTTTGATTTACATACTTTTTTTATTTTATATAGGTGAAGGCATGAAGAAGACGTCAACAAAACTGAATTTAAAAATCACCATCTTTATTTTTACACATGTCAATCATCTCTTGGGCAGACAAATTATTGTTCAATCGTCATTGAATATAATAAATTTTTATGTAGACTGATTTTAAAAGTACGACGTACGCAGAAGAGCATAAGCAGCATGCAGATGTTTGCATGTTAGAAGTCAAGAAAAAAGGAACATAGTTCCTCACAAAGCAGAATTTATATTGCATAGGTGCTTATGTGAATATAAGCTGTGATTGGTTAATTTTACTTTTAGTTACCTTTTGCAATCAGAGTTATGTGATTTAGAAAGATCTTTAATTTGGGAGAAAAGATAAACTTAGGCAGAGAGCACCAAATCTAGAATGTTAATTTTGAGATCGCTAATTATTCTTAAAGCAGCCATCGTATTTTATTATATCTTACATATATATACACACACATTACGAATACAAACTATAAATGTCTACATAACGAGTTTCCACTAGTAACTTAGTTACAGATAAAATTATCAATATTTTACAACCTCAAAGTGGTCAAGTATATTTACGGGTACACCTTGGCAAAAATTGGTGGTACATGGATACCAAGTTTGTTCAATTTTTTTACTTGTTATTTTGGCTTGT